TCGACCGGTGGTGCACAATTTTGCTAGCCGGTAACACACGTCGTTATCGTCCATAGACCCTTCCAAAATTATTGCTACAATTTCTCTCTCTCCCCTCTCCTTTTTTAGGGTTTTTCAATCAGGTCAACTAAGGATCATTAGCGTTTCCTAGAGCTCAAAATGAAACCGATCGGACATCTTTCTAGGAGAGAGAAGTGAAACACAAGCTAAGAGTAAGAGTGCGAGTAAAGAGAGATGAGAGAGAATCCGAGGGAGCAAGAGAGAAACAAGAGCCAAGATGTTGGTAATAGTTGTCATGTGGCTAGTGATGGCTTCGCCAAAGGTGGTGGTGTTAAGGGATGGCGACCACGCTAGTCGGGTCACACGTCAAATTGATCTAATAAGTTGAGGGTGGAGATGAGTGAAGGAAATAGATGCAGGCAAATCCTGAGCTACGGTGAATGCAACAGTGCACCATGAAATCACACAAATCGGCCCAGGCACACCAGTTGTTTTGAGGAGGAAGCTGCTCAAAAGGACAAGACCTGTGTCCTGTCCAAGCTGCTAAAGCAGGTCGAGAATGGACCCTTGTTGTAAAGAGCAGTTAGGTTGGCAGTTGAATAAAGCTTCCGAACTAAAAAAATAAAGTGACACAACCCCCGATGGCCTCACGAAATAAACAAATAGGTAAAGCCCCCTCATTGACAGTGACTCTCTATTACCAAAGACGACTGTGCTTTTATCAGCTCATCCACACAGAGTTAAATGCTTCTTCGACACAAAAGTGGATGTAAGCTCCGAGTTTGGTGACCCGACTCACTGCCCCACCCGCACGCTTCGACTCACGTGGGACTCTTCACGACTCGCCCTCGCTCTCTCTCACGCCCATCCCATGATACTCTTTAAAGCCAAGTAATACAGCTTCACAAGAAGAAGAAAGAAAGAAGGAAGATCACACCGCCCCTGAGTTTGGTTATTTTCGCGTGGAAAGAAAGAATCCCATCTTCCAAGTTAAAAATTGTTAATTATGAATGATCTTTGAAGCATATCTTTTGGTCTTAGATCTAGATGGAGGACCATTTTTTATTTAGTGTTCTTGTGAATATACGTGGTGATTATGAATGTGTATGATTAGCACGTAGACGATAAGTGAGAGTTTGGAAAGAAAAGTACCGTGGGAGCCGGAGCTTGAAAAGATTTACTAAGATAGGAGGATGTATGACCGTGATATCATTCATATGGTCATCTTTTATTAGACTATTATCTGTTCCGATTAAACATGCAACATGCGTTGTTTGATTGCTAACGTGTGCTTGTGTATGGAGCAAAATTATGGCAAAAGCAAAGCACCCATATCGGATTTTGAACTTTACAATTCTTAAATTCCATCATAGAATCGAAAGAAGCAAAAATCCCTTTAAAGAATGGCTTTTGTAAGTGGTTAAGCCCCCATTCCCTGTGCAGGTTGATTTCAAATATATTCCCTCTGCACGTATGGGTAGCAAATCGAAGTTCTATGATCCTATGTATGATAAATCCGCACAAATCATTTCTTTGACATGAATTATAGGGAGCTATCTTGTTTTCTTCACCAGTCGAGCACTATCTCATAAATACGATCCAAATTGACTTTAAGAAAAATAAAAGTACTAATCACGCACTTAAATACTAAATACCCTCCAAGTTAAACATCATTGACAACGGATCGAGGGGCTAGCAAGCAGTGGCCACCGACTCACCGAGTGTCTTTTGTCACGCTTGTTGCTCGATGTGATTTCTTTTCTAATAAAGATCCAATATAACCTACAAAATTTCATGCGAAATCTCTCTATCTCGACATAGGGTTCTTATTTACGGCATGGCGTTTGTTTTTTCCAATCTCGTCTCTTTGATTGAAATTTCTGCATCCACCATTGAGCAGGACCACAATTCTTTCCTCATATGTATCTTATTCTTCTTCCATACCATACGGCTTCATACCAAACGGCAGGTGAAGCAAAGAGTAGATACCGGCGTTCGGCATGCGCGCTTGTATTTTATATCCAAGAGCATATGCTTGCTGATGAAAAACTCTGCAGATTTGTTGCAGAAAGACAAAAATGTAGAGGCCCAGTACGTGAAGACGCAGGAGTTTGTTGCACCAACAAATATTTAATGATTTTCTTGTTGGGTGTGTATTACCTAAAAACCATATAATGATAAAAAGAAAAGATAGGTGGTGGTGAAATTAAATTATTTGCAGAATGGTTGCTTTTGTTCCATTGCTTTTGTCCGACCCCATTGGAAATTGCAAAGGGAACATTCGTTTACAATAAGTTTACACAAAAGATCACAATTTCACCCAACGGTCGTTCATTTCAAAGGTTTTCCCTTTTCTTATCTTTGGTCATGTTTTTTTTTAATGTGATTAAACTTAGAAATCGATTCTAAGCCAAACGGTCACTATTAAGGTGCATATTTGAGAATGTCAGCCAAACGCGTTCTAATTTGAATCGTCAAATAATTTCCTGATCCTCAAAACATGGCAAATATTTTGCTCTACTGCGTAATTTAGCGTGATTTAGTGTTGTTTTTTTGGCCAAGTCATTAATATATCGCTTAAGAGATCATGAATTGTTAATAGAGATTCGAATCACGTCAAAATAATGTTATGGAATAAATAACTAAATAAGGAAATATTGCAACCGACACATTGATTACGCTCTGATATGCATAATCGGTACTTTAAAAGTTGAATCAGTCCTTAGTAACTATGCTTAACAAGTATTCCGAAGGTACCCTTTAATAAGACCCTAGCGTTATTATCCTTGGATTCCCTTGCAAATTGATATGTCGAGACAATTTCATTATCAATTAGATCATTAGCGCCTCCTAGTTCTTGTAGTCATATCAGTCTCTCGCAGACGCACAAATGTACCAATGGCGCTTCCTTGTCTAGTCCGCCATTGAATGTGATGTCTTGGCCATTATACTGAGAAATGCATGTAGATACTTCTCTGCACAGTAAGTAATAAAGAGAATATGTTCAATTGGTATATGCCGTCGGTGGGTCCAAAACGAAATTGCCAGGCTTTGAATTTCAAGGACGCATTTCTATTGCCACGATCTGAAAATTGTGTGGACTTGAAAGCCCCTGGGATACAGCCCCCCATGGCCAAGCCAAAATAAAATAGAAAGTATAGTCTAAAATAAAAATAAATAAATAAATACAAGATGAAAAGTGCACGGAGATCGTGAATTAGTGATAGTCCTACGTAATTGGTCTAAAATCATAGGCTGGAGTGGAATTCCATTTGTTAGAATGTCCTTCTCATGAGATGATATTCTAATGAAAAGTCATCAATCATTAAGCCTAAGTTTTTCTGGTCAAACTAATCGTTGAGTTTTCTTGTGCGCTTGTATTTTCTTCTTTGCCATTCTAAAAGATGTCTGTCGGCAGGCAAAACTAAAAATCGAGAAACCCTAATATCGAGAGAACAAGACGGCCATAAATTTATGTAAGATCGGCATTAGATCCTCATTTAACAGCATGAAATGACAATCCCTTTTGCAGTCTTCATATCATATCGAAATCATCAATATACCGGAAAACTTCAGTGAAGATTATTTAGTTTGCGTATAATGTTATGAATTGTCCATCTCATCTCATGCATTTTTTGCTGTCAAGGGGGTTGAATATTTTCCTTATCTACCACGAGGGCAATTGAAGTTTATAAACACAATTCATCTTATAATTGCGTATTCGTACACTGGTTGATAGGCAAGGATTATTTTATTTACCTGCAATTAAACAGCAAGAGTGACAAGAAGAAAAAAACCCCAGGAAAAAAAAAGAACAAAAAGAAGAAGAAATTATGTCGTTTGCTATACCCAATTAAAAGAAAGTATATGATGAAATATGTACATAAAGGAGCTGTGGGACATGATTACGAAAGACCCCTTTCCATAAAGACATCACTACCAAAAACCAACTAAAAGGGAATCCAATAAATGCAATCATCTATTATTATTGGCTCTACATGTAGATAAACATAACACATGGAATGGTCCCAAATTGAGGCAATTATTTTCACCTAATTTACCATCACATTATGTTCCAAAAATTCAGAATGACTAAATTGGCAAATTAAATACTACGTTATTCTCTTGTACAAGGGGGGCTTTCCCTCTAAAAAAATATATAACTTTTTTTTTCCAGCCAAATAATGAAGATAATTTCCTTCCATTTCATTTTGGTTGATAGCTAATTCCTTTGGAAGCAATATAAAAAATCACAAAATTGGTATCTTAACTACCCGAATCAAGCAGCTTACCTAACCTTGGTCCTTGGCCTCTCATATTCCCCTCTGTCATCTATGAAGAAACATTATATTTATATACATAAATTCATCATGTTGCTATATTAAACACCTCTTAAATAAATAAATAAATAAAACCATTTCTTTTTTTTCAATATGATTGAAACCCTCTACCGCACTCTAGCCAAGCTACCAAAATACCCAAAACATATAATAAAAATGAAAATCCATAGTCGTTGGATGAACATAAATTAGTGAGAAATCTTGGAAGTGGGGGAAATCTTTATGATAAATGACATGTAGACCGAATTTCAAGCGCAATTTCTTGTCTATTTAAATAGAGTGAACCGACAGTGCCGATGACCATAAGGACAAGACGAGAAATTTTGACAAAAAAACGTGCATGTCAATTTAGGTAATTCGCAGGTGTGCCACAGGGGCAAAGTCGTCATGTGAAATGTGAAGAAGATACTGTCCGTGCTGACCAAGATTAGGCATCCGCTTAAATAATTCATCACTTCTCTCCAACCATAGTAGTTTTTTATTATTCTATTTGCATTAAAATCCCAGAGAAGCTTCTGCTCCAGCCATTTTCCTTATTTTTTTTTTCTCTTATTGATTTCCCTTTTTCTTTAATTACCCACGTTAGATGTTCTGTTTTTTTTTTTTCCTGATCTGACAAAAAAAAGTCAATAAACCGAATAATCAAAAGAATAAAAGCGAAATAAGGAAAGTGTCATCTTTCTGAAAGGAGAGAGCTGTTAGCAAGGGAAGCCGAGCCACATTGCAGCAGAGCACGAGCTCTCACTCTCAAAGACACCGGAGCAGAGCACATCAGATCTGCTTCTTGGATTCATTTCACTTCACATTTCACCCTCTCTCTCTCTCTCTCTCTCTCTCTCTCTCTCTCTCTCTCTCTCATTCTCTCTGTGTAAGAGAATTCAGGGGCACTGTTGCTCTGTATCTCCGTCTGCCCAATAAGCTGACAACACTCAGGATAACGGTCAATTCTCAAGCATCCAGAAGACGGTGGCGGCAAGAAGGAAAATGGTGAGTCTCCGGTGGCTCTCGCCGGAGCTCCGGTGAGTGCGGGGGCGGCGCCGGGAGGGGGATTAGGAAGATGTTCAAGCCGGCGAGATGGAGGAGCGAGAAGAACAAGATCAAGGCCGTGTTCAAGTTGCAGTTTCATGCGACCCAGGTACCTAGAAGAGAGTTCGGTTTTTTCTATATGTCCTGTTGGATATTGAGAATGTGTGAGGCTTTGTGTAAAACGAGTTTGAGCCCAGCTTGGCTTTCTTCTTCAGCATTGTGATCATTGGTCCGTTTTCTTGATTATTATAGTGTGAGCTGAGTTGGGTCGGTTGGGAATTTGCAATTCCCCAGAAAGTGCGATGACAGCAGAAGTTATACACTTTTTGATTCTTGAGGGAGTTTATTCTTGGGATTTTGAGAAGGCAGGAGCTGTCTGGCCTACTGAAACCACACCAAGTCAACAATTAGAAGTCTTTGTGATTTCATCCATTTTTTTCTTGTATTTTCTTGAATCTGTCGGCAGACAAATCGCAATTTGAGAAGAAGGTGTTGTTGGATGCTATTTGAGATCAATGTGTTGGAGGACTGATGGTTTGAATTTCGAATTTAATTTTTAGGTGACACAATTGAATGTGGATGCATTAATGGTGTCTGTGGTTCCCGGTGATGTGGGGAAGCCAACAGTGAAAATGGAGAAGGCCACAATAAGAGAGGGGAGATGCCAATGGGCCAATCCAGTTTACGAGATGGTTAAATTCGCTAGAGATCCCAAAACTGGGAAAATAAACGAAAGGATTTACCATTTTATCGTGTCCACGGTAATGAAATTGTTGCGAATTTCAGTTGATATGTATCTCTTGATGTCGAGGCTTCTTTAGGCAAATGGTATGTTAGAATCAATTATATGTGGAGGGTTGTTGCAGGGAGCCGCAAAATCTGGTTTCGTCGGTGAAGCTTCGGTAGATTTTGCAGATTACGCAGAGGCGACCAAGGCTTCCTCTGTTTCCCTCCCTTTAAAGAATTCAAGCATTGATGCTATATTACATGTTAGCCTCTCTCTCTCTGTCTCTCTCTCTTCTTTTTGTTTGTTGACAGAACTTCGCTTACTGAGAAAACATCTTCTGATTGTTAATAGGTTTCAATTCAGAGGCTGCAGGAAAATGTTGACAACAGGTGAATACCAGCATGATAGCTGATTTTCATTGTGACTGCCTATGTTAGCAGAGCTTGACTTTGATTGTAATATTCATGACGTTTGGGAGTGCATATGCAGAGAGGTGGAAGAAAGTGAAGATACAAAAGTTAAATTGCAAGACAGGAGCTTGAGATCCCACTTAAGCAACAGTGACAAAGACGGGAGCAATGAGAACACCAATAGTAGTTCTGCAGAAGTATGCTCCTTTCTCATCCTACCTATGTAAACCAATTTTCATATTCAATTTCTATTTTTCATAAAGTATAGAGAAAGAACAACATTAAGTTTGAGTCTTTCCATGGAGCAAAGCAAATGAATGATGTTAACTTCAACTTTTTCTTAATCGTAGGATGTGCTAGTCAATAAGACCATCATCACTCAAAATGCCGAATTGAATGGTAGCTTCAGAGCCTCTAGTGGATCTGACTTAACTATTTCTAGCTCCGAGAGCAGCTCAGGACTGAACACGCCTCGGGAACATAGCGTTAGCAATGCTATCGTTCCACACGAATCTAATGGCTTCCAATCCTCCATGAGCAATATGTTACTGCCTCACGGACAGAAATGGGGTTGGTCCGCCAGTTTGGGTCACGAAGTGGTTGCTGATATGTCAGAAGCCAATCTGGAGGGAAAGTTGGAGATGGCTTCAGACTCTGAGATAGAAAGACTCAGAACCGAGCTAGCAGTGATGGCTAGGCAGGTGGACATGTCGGAGTTGGAGTTGCAGACTCTCAGGAAGCAAATTGTGAAGGAGAGTAAAAGGAGCCAAGATCTCTCTCGAGAAGTAGTTTGCTTGAAGGAGGAGAGAGATGCACTAAAATGGGAATGTGAGAATTTTAAGTCCTTACACAGGTCATCGGTGAAGAAGATATTGGAGTGTGAGGACGGGGATCTGCGAGCTCTCCTAGAAGAAGCTAGAGAAGAACTGGATCACGAGAAAAACCTTAATGCAAATCTCCGGTTGCAATTGCAGAAAACCCAGGAATCAAATGAGGAATTGATTCTTGCTGTAAAAGATTTGGACGAAATGCTGGAGCAGAAGAAAATTGAAATGGGTTATCGTTTCAGCAAATCGGGATTATATGAAAATAAGGAATTTCCAAGCGAAGGTGTCTCGAGATGTGATACAGATGAAGATGAAGAACAAAAGGCATTAGAAGAGATTGTTAAAGAGCACAGAGATGCCAAAGAAACGTATCTGCTGGAGCAGAAGATCCTGGACCTCAATAGTGAAGTAGAGATCTACAGAAGAGATAGAGATGAACTAGAAATGCAGATGGAGCAGATCGCACTCGATTATGAGATAATGAAGCAGAAAAATCACGAAATTTCCTGTAAGTTGGAGCAAAGCCAATTGCAGGAACAACTAAAGATGCAGTGCGAGGGCTTGCCTTTTCGAAATACGCAAGAATTAGAGAACAAGATTCAGAGCTTGGAAAACGAACTCAAAAAGCAGTCTGAAGACTTGACTGAATCTGTAACCACCATTGATGAACTTCGCGCTCACATGAAGAGCTTGGAAGAAGAGCTGGAGAGACGGGCAAGAGAGTTTGAAGCCGATCTGGAAGTCATAACTCGTGCCAAGGTGGAACAAGAGCAAAGAGCCATCCAAGCAGAGAGAGCCTTGCAAACGATGAAGAGGAAGAATGTTAATACCGCTGAGAGGCTTCAGGAGGAATTCAGAAGGCTATCTGAGCAAATGGCTTCAACTTTTACCGCAAATGAGAAAGTGGCCATGGGAGCCCTCACAGAAGCTGGTGAGCTGAAGATGCAGAAAATTCAACTTGATGAGATGCTCCTGAAAGCCAATGCGGAGTTACAGTTAGTCAAGAACTCATACGAAATAAAACTCGCTGAACTTTCTGATCAAATAAGAGAGAAAAAAAATCAGATAGACAACATGGCTTTGGAGATTGATGAAAAGTCCGAGCAGCTCGAAGATTGTAAGAAGCAGGAGAAGGAAGTTACAGAGAATCTACTCCACGAGATAATAACACTCAAAGCTGAGATCACAAGGCTCCATGCAGATAATAATCTCCTCTCTAAACAAGCAGGACAGGAAGACAATTTGAAGGAAGAGCTGAGACAGCTGAAGAAATCAATCACAGAGGCAGAGCTGGCGGTTCAGAGAGGAAATGTGGAAAGAAATGAACTGGTGAGTGCATTAGCTTTGGTGAAGAAAGAGTTGGAGGATTCACTTGTGGAATTGAAACACTCGAGGCTTTTGAGGGATGAGAAGGATATTACGATCTGCAAATTAGAAACAGAGCTCAAAACACTGAGAGTTCAGTGTAATGATTTGAAAAATTCGCTTGTTGAGGACAAGTCAGAGAAGGAGAATCTGAGAAAGCAAATAAACCAGCTGAAGGGAGACCTGAAAAATAAGGACAACGCCTTGATGGGCATTGAGAAAAGAGTCAAGGAAAGCAATGGCCGTGCAGCTATTTCTGAGGGAACAAAGAATGCAACAAGAAACAATAAAGTGGTTCCACTTGCTAGCAGCAATAAAGAGGTCTCAAATCTCAGGGAAAAACTGAAGTTGCTAGAGGTAAATCCTGTGCCCTTTGCACTTGGTTGATATTTTTTCGCTGTTGTCACTGTCATTATCTAGAGCTTCAAACATTTTGACCACCTATTACAATATCAAGAGTTTGATTGAATGATTGTTTCCTTCTGATGACAATAATTACTCAGAATGAGGCGATGCAGTGTATATTTTACTTACAGTAGCTTCTGACAGGGTCAAATAAAGTTGAAAGAAGCTGCTTTGGAAGACTCGGCGAATTCTTTTCTGGAGAAGGAAAAGAGTTTCAAAAGCAAAATTGAAGAGTTGGAAAGTAGATTGGACGAACTCAACCACTTTTACCCATTTAACAAGGTAGCCATTATATATATGACTCAACTATTTGTTGCTCATAAATTTTGGCTAGGAATTTGATTTTTTTGCTTGTCTAAGAAATGACGGAGACATTTTACTAGGTTTCCAACAACTCATGTCGTACGAAGATAAGTTTGCTAATTAAAGTATACCACCAAATTCAAAAGGAGAAAAAGATACCAGTGCTTGCGACACTATAATAATATAGCTGCTTTTTCGTCCTGCTTAGAATTTCTTGAGCCATAATATGATTGGATCTGACTACAGAACTGCTCTATAGATTTGTTTAGCTCCATGAGATCAGATCATGCTGTACTCTAATCTTATAGTGTTTTGATTATAAATCCAGGTTGCTGAAGCTACCGGAGGAATCACTCCAGAAAGTGTTTCGCCAAAAGAATCATGCTCATCCACAGAAAATGGAAACTTGACTAACAGGTCTGAATTCATGCAGCAAACTCCATACCCCTGCCAACTCTTTTTTTGTTATTCAGTAGTTGAAGAAATGCGAAAAAGAGGAAAATTATTACTTTTGTAGAGAAATGGCATAATAAATCTGTTACATTCTTTACTTTTCTATGCCTCCAGAAATGATGAAGCCCTGTTGGACAGAGAAGTAAAGAAAAATGCAGCGAATGCTACAGAGGACGATAATAGTCATCTGTCAAAAGAACTGGAATTGATGAAGGAGAGGAATCAATTAATGGAAAGTGAACTAAAGGAACTGCAGGAGAAATATTCCGAGATGAGTCTCATGTTCGCGGAGGTGGAAGGCGAAAGGCAACAGCTCGTCATGACTCTGCGCAACCTCAAAAACTCCAAGAAGAATTGATTTATTTATTTTTCTCATTTCACAGAAAGATGGATAGGCACATTGTACAGTTTAAGCATGGGGATGAACATTGAGAATCCAGACATGAGCCATCAGGGTCAATAAGAGTATACCTATGATACCTATTCTGAGTGCTGGCTTCTCTGATTGGCATTATACATCATTAGATAGGTTTTTCATTTGTTAATTTTTCTTACGGGGTAAACTCTTTTGTTTATACATAATTTGTCTGGCGTGTCTCTATCCATGCAAACTTACTATTTAGGTGTATTGTTTGTATTTGTCTTGGGAAGTAATGATCAATCTATGTTTATTTGTTTTCACTCTATCACGTATCATTTCTGCTTCACTCCTGTTGTTCTGATCTCATAACCTGTACAAGCCCTTATCTTAGAACACAACTAAGCTTTGCCCGGAAGCGAGAAAAATTCATAATTACTAATCGGAGTTCATCTTGATTGGAGTCTTGTATGTGTATTAGTATCAGAGGTTTTTTCAACCACAAAATTGAGACTGTCATCTTTTACAATAAAATGTTGATGTTGAAGCTAATAGCATAACCAATATAGGAAATATCTAAATTCTAATCTAGTGGATTGCTGCAAAAACACTGAAGTAGGAATCTTTTCATGCCCCATCTACTCATAAATTATGTGAGGCTTTTTTATTTGTTTCTGCTTTACAGTGTATCTGTTGTTTTTCAGTCTGCAGTCATCACCCTAATTAAAACAGTCATGTTAATCACTCTATTGAATTTTGTTGTCGTTCAAATCAGAGACAGGCCAATGGAATAGGGAATGCCTCTCTTTTTACTATATGCATTTTGAAAGACAGCACATCATGTCTGAATGAAGAAAATACCGTCTTCAGGAGCATCAGCAATGTTGTATGAAATTAGATGATCTTATTACCAGGTTGCTAGAGTTAAAAGTATAAGAGAGAGTGTATATGCTTTAGAGTTCACAAGTGTGATTCATTTTCATATTTTCCACTTCTTGTGCTGTTACAAAATGTACAATATTCTACAAAACCTTTCTGCCTTGCTTGTGCTTTCTAAGGGAGAAAGACTGCTCACTGGACAAAAACAAAACAGAGAGAGAGAGACCGCATAGCACGGGGGACTCGCCACTCTCGCTATGTCAAAATTAGATCACATTCTCCGATGTATTGATCCATACACAACGACAAGAGCCATGATAAGGGAATGATCAACTTCAGGCTCCACAACCAAACTCAAAACATCATCTCCTAGGCATACTCCAGAAGATGACTGCTTCCTCGTTCCCTGGAAAATCACAAATAAAGGCACAATGTTAGTTTAAGAGAGATGGAAGAAGCCATTCTAGACTGAGAGTGTTCATTTGTCTGACCTCTGCAATCAGACCTCCTGTTCTGTTGACTATGCTGAACTCTGATTTACCAGCCGTACTCTTTATGTTAAAAATTCTTGCCTGGGCCTCATCGCAGTGCACGGAAACTTGGCAGGACGATCTCCTTTTAAACATGGGACAACCTTTTTTGACCCGAAACCAAAGTTTTCCGTCATTTGAAACCGATTCACTGCATTGGTAGCCCTCCCAGCCCCCAAAAACTCGAACTTTCTGCATTAATGTTTGTCATTAGCCTCATCCTGTAGTTCATATAGTAATTGAAGTCATCTACTTGACTTATAAGTGAAAAACAAAAAAAAACATAGCCTATACCCTTTGAATTATAGTGAAGAGAACTTTCCCGCATAAATCCATGAGAAAAACTTTTCTGCTACCCTTCTTTTCATAATTATCGATACGGTAAACGATCTCGCCTTTCTGGTTGAAAACAGTGCATCCATTTCCTTGCATGAGGAGCGACTTCATCCACACCGTGAAAGCTTCTCTCTTTTGAGTCATATACGGAGAACAAGAAGCATCAGCTGTAGCAATTGGCACTACAGAATGATCCTTGGCCATCTCATCCACTGAACTTTGGTTTTCCGTGAGAACTCTTAGCACTCTTTCAAGTGTCGAAACGATAGGAGGGGGAGGCACTTTTTCGGGTTTAAATACTGGGAGAAGACAGTACCTAAGTAATAAAACGTGCTCAAGGCTTCACGTTTATGGTATGTATGCATTTATTATGGAGCTCAACGATTTGTTTATCTAATCATAAGAGTATTATAATGGTTACCCATTTGTTGACCTTCTGGATCTGCGGAGTCTAATAGTTCAGCGGAAAATGAAGTTGGACCTATCACTATGCAGGGGCTGTTGATGACACTGGTGACACAGAACAACTAACTGATATACAAACATTGCTGCAACACTTTTGTTCTCTTTGCCTCGAGTTTTATATGCATTTGTCTGCTTTCAGATCTGATTTTTTTGTGTCTAATTAGTAGAGGGCTTATGCTTATCCAAATAGAGAACATTATGAAGCTTAAGTATGCGCGCTGGGGCCAAACATGACGCAAATCGACTTTACCGATAAGCCTCAGAAGAATATCATTTTGTTGTCATCTTGAACTTCCATGTGTTATATCTTCAGCATAAAGTCCATGACTGCTGGGTTACTTTAGAGCCATTGAATTCTAAGCCACGGACAGTGAAGCAAGTAGTAATATCCACGTATACTTTGGAAACTGATCCGTTGTTAGTCTCGTTCTAGTGATTGGAGTTCAGTGGATTTGAAACTGACATTCAAGATACAGACTCAGTAGATAATGAGTCCGAAGAAAAATACTGTATTTAGACCACCGATCTGTTCCTTAAAAATTTAAACTTTTAAAAGAACGATTTGTCTAATAACATCATAGATTAGTTTTATTTCTAGCCAATTTCTATTATTTTTTATTATGTCCGTTATCCCCGACATTCTTTTCTTTTTCTACTTGTTTGATACCTCTTCAATTTGGTTAAATCTCATATCTCATGTGTAAGCTCAACTCACACGCGACGAAGAGCGTTAAGGAACGGAATATATATAATGTTGACTCGTTTCTTAATCAACTTTAACTTTTCAGGAAAAATGATAATGGACTTAAATTTGCTTGAAACGAGTGCCCTAAATCTCATAAAAAGTTATCTAGTGTAATTCAATCCTATATTTTTTAGAGATAAGTGCACCAGAAGTTCTAAAATTGATCATGAAAGTGCAATTGAGTCACAAAATTTTCAAAAAAGACAATCAAGTCATAAAACTTGTCATAAAAATGCAATTGAGTCATAAAACTTTCAAAAAGTGCAATTAAGTCCTAAAATTTATTAAGTTAGTGCAATCAAATCCTAAAACTTATTAAGTTGGTACAATCAAGTCATAAAATTAATTAGCATCTTCTGTTTGGCAAGTTGGATAGAAGAGATTGATTGCGTCGACTTAACAAGTTTTAGGATTTGATTATATTTTATGAAAGTTTTAAGACTCAATTGCACTTTCGTAATAGATTTTAGAACTTTCGATATACTTATTCCTTTTGTTTTTGTCAGAAGTCATATGGGCAGCCCCACCTGAGCCCACTATTACCATTATATTGTGTTGTGGCTGCGTAACTTTAATGCTTTGAGATCTCAGGAGACTCGTCTATTCCACGAAACTTAAATAATCGAAGAATATATCAAACAAAAACAATATGTATAATTGTTTAGATGATCGAATGATGTGTTCAGTAATCCTTTTATAAATTATCTTTACACTTATCAAACATTTCTATTTCCTATTATAAGAAAACTAAAGTTATCACATATTGCCTTTTCTTTAGCATAACATGATTATTTTGTCATTTTAAAGCAATTGCCATTCTAATTAACTCTAATCGTGTACTTCAATGCATTTTGAATGGGATTGAACCAAAGTAATTTTACGCTCTATGTTACAAAATCGATTCATGTTAATGATCATACTTAGTTCAAGATAGTCAACATACACCCTCTCTCTCTCTCTCTCTCTCTCTCTCTCTCTCTCTCTCTCTCTCTCTCTCTCTCTCTCTCTCTCTCTCTCTCTCTCTCTCCACAGCAGTTGGGCTCACCTCTCTGCAAGTAAAACTATGACACAAGCAATAATGTTAATGAAATACCGACCACGACCCTATGCATAAACAAGTGGGAGGCTTATGTTCGATCTCATCTCTTAGGGATCAAAGCGCAAAGGCCAACTGCGTTTATACCTCGTTGTTGTTTTTCTATATTTGGTTCACTGTTGTATAGGTCAGCAATGCTTTTAGTATTATTCCCTTGACGGTGGGATATGTGCTGCTCAAGTTTGTGACTCAATCAAACCTAAAATAAATATATAAATGGCCGAAATAAGATAAGAGTCACGTTTCATATCATCCTACATTTTAGATGTTAACACTGGATTTATCCACCTGATTAAGAAACAACAAAAATTCAAGGTAGAAACCAAATATGCAGTTGATATCACTCACATGTTTATAGTTGACAATTGATGAGCAATCCTATCCATATGATTATAAGAATGCTCGTCGGAGTGCACAAGTGACATGTGTGAGATGTGAAGTATAATGGAGTTTTTAGATTTAATTAGTGCTTAAAAGAAGTAGTTAAGCCTCCAAGAGGTTGGCTGCGTTGGTAAGGGTGTAGGACTTGGGATCCCAGGTCCCAAGTTCGAGTCCCTATGCCGCGTAGCCTTATCATACTCTTGACTTACATGAAGGCTAGTTTGTGGGGCCAGATTTGCTCTCCTCTGGTTGGTGCCTGGCCGGTCGGACCCTTTTAGTGCGGCCAGTGCGGGAGTCCGGATTATCAAAAAAAAAAAAGTAGTTAATGTACTCATAAGTGTCTCGTCTTATCGGCTTAATAAGTTTTACAGTGAAATCGAGTACTCCATATGAGTATGTTACTAGATTTGGGACAATTACCAAAAAAGTCCAAAATTTATTGCATTTTTGCCAATTCAATCATCAACATTTTAATTGTGTCAATTAAGTCATAAATTTTTTCATGTTTTGCCAATTGAATCCATTCAGCAAATTTTAGTCAGAAATTACAAACGTAAACGCTGGGCATCTTAGATTGCACAATCGGGGAACGCCTAGCAATGGCCGATGCTGACGTGGACAAATTTATTTTAATTTATTTTATATTTTTTTAATTTTGTTATGTTTCCTTTTTTCTTTTCTTTTCTTTTCTTTTCTTTTCTTCTCTTTTTTTATTGTAGCCAGCAAGGGCAACAAAGCCCTCGCCAGCTGCTAGGGAGGGCTACGAAGCCCTCACTGATCGCAGGTGAGGTATGAGGAGTAGGAAGTTCGAGATCCTGGAGCTGCAAGGGAAAACCCTAGGGTCATCGGAGAAGTGAAGGGGGCAGTGGGAGTGGAGGTGCGACCAGAGCGAGCAATTGCAATCCCGAGAAGAATGGCAGCTGCCGTCATCATTGACAGGGCAAGAATCGAGAAAGAGGGGGGAGGGGTCGTCGTCATGCTTCATCGGAGAGGACAAGGCTTGACTTTCGAGCGAGCTCGAATGCCTGAGCTCGGCGCCTGAGATCGACCTCGCCTAGATTTGCACAAGGCCATCGTGAGCGAGGTCGCCTTGCCAGATCTGGGTGAGGCCAGCCTCACCTAGATCAGGGCGAGAGCGCCAAGCTCTAGCATTCAAGCTCATTCGGAAGTCGAGCCTCGTCCTCTCCGATGAAGTGCGACGACTCCTCCTCGTCCCCAATTCTCACCCCAGCAATAGCGGCAGCCGCCATCCCTCTCGGGATCGTGATCGCCGGCTCTGGTCGCACCTCCACTCGCTCTGCCTGCCTCACTTCTCCAATGACCCTAGGGTTTCCACTCACAGCTCTAGGATCTTGATCTTCCTGCTCCTTGCACCTCACCCACGGCCAGCAAGGACGTCGCGGCCCTCGCCAATCACAGTAAAAAAAGAAAAGAAGCAAAAGAGAAGAAAAGAAAAAAAAATATTCAAAAATTAAAAAAAAAATGGTCCACATCATTGCCGGCCGGCGCCATCCATACCATGTAGGACACCAGCATCCACGTCAGCGATTTTCGACCAAAATTAATCGAGTAGATTCAATTGACAAAATGTGAAAATGTCTATAATTCAATTCATTAAAAAATTTAGAAGTGAATTGCAAAAGTGCAATAAGTTTAGGCTTTTTTTGATAATTTTCCTTAATATATTCGGATTTGGCTCCCTGGTCTTCCATCCGTGTGATCTAAGGGTGGCGACAACAAGTGAAGGCATCTATTGCATTTTACAAGTAGCTAGGAGAGATTTTCCAAGCTCTCGATTAAGACAATACTTGATCCGAGTAACAAACTTATTAGTTAGGAAAACTCTCGACGGAAACCCAAACCAAGCTGTAAAGATCACAATGAAACCAATGCCAATAACTTCGTCTTCTTATTGGTTTCGAATCATTAACGTAAATTTCGCTCATAAATAAGAAGCTCGATTTTGATACTAAATTATCAAATGGCAACAACATGCAATACAAGTACCATCAGATCTATTGGCAAAAGTGTCAGAAAAGTCTTAAACCTATTGCATTTGTGCCAATTTAGTCCTTCTGACTAATTTTGGTCGAATTTTGCTGATGTGGATGCTGACTGGCTTACATGGCACCGCCGGCGATGACGTGCACAACTTTTGATAATATTTTAATTATTTTGAATTTTTTTATTTCTTATTTAATTTTTTTTATTTTCTTTTTTTCTTTTTTTTCCTTTCCCCTTCTTCTTCCTCCTGCCGGTCGTCGGGCTCTGGCGAGCCCCACTGGCCACTGACAAAGGCTTGAGCCCTCGCCAGCGGTTGGGCAAGGCACGACCTCGCCAGATCTAGCGAGGTCGGGCCTCACCCATGGCCGGCTAGCGATGGTCAAGCCTCGCCAGCCCAGCGCGAGGCCGCCCTCGTGACCATTCGACCTTGCCGGATGGCCGCGAGGGTGGCCTTGCGCTGGGCTGGCGGGGCTCACCCTCGCCGAATCTAGTGAGGGTCGAGCCTCGCCGGCCATTGGGGAGGCCCGACCTCGTCAAAGGCTGCAAGGTCGAAGGCCGTGACCTTGCGGCCACTGGCGAGATCGAAGGCTACGAGGGACCTAGCCGGCCATGGCCTCCAGCTGGTCGCCGGACCGTCGACCAGCTGGAGGAAGAAGACAGGGAAAGAAAAAATAAAGAAAAGAAAAAAAATAAAAAATAATAAAATAAAAATTCGAAAAATATTAAAATATTATTAAAAGTTGTCCACGTCATCGCCGGCGGTGTCACGTAAGTCGACTGGCATCCACGTCAGCAAAATCTGGCAAAAATTAGCCAGAAGGACTGAATTGACACAAAGACAAAAGGTTTCAGACTGAATTGGCACTAAAAAAAAGGTTTAGTACTAAATTAGCACCACTACAATAGGTTTAGGGCTTTTCCGACACTTTTCCCTCAATCTTGTCATTCCAAATACGATAACAGACATAGTCTTCACATCCAAAGAATCACGAAATCACAAAATAAAAGGATGAGGTTTATGAAATTTCTATCTTGTGACAAGAAAGTTATGTTTGTCAAATAAAACAAGCATTATTTACAGGTAGCTCATTTGTTATAGGCTGGAGATTTGGGTTGACATTCGTTTAAAAAATTTCACAAACAACCGAATGGACGCCTTCGGTTACGGTTCATGCCACTCTTTTCTTCTCATGCCCCACAACAACACTTCACACCCTCTTCCTCATTGTACTAAATGAATTATTCCCGAGAGACATCAAAAGCCCGTATCTTATATCCTCTTATAATAGCAACATAGATCAATCGGGCACGGTCCGCTATCTCATTGAGCAACAGAAATATATAAATCGATCAATCAACTAAACTAAAACAAATGGGTTTTCGTTATCATTTGTTATTGTCAGAGCAAGATGACTCAGACGGTCTCTTTGCAACGTTACTACACTCATCAATATCTTCTCTCTCTATAAAATTAGAATAATCAGAAAAATAAATAAATGAATGAATTGGTGGAGATCATAGGTGACGAGCTGATATTTCTCCTGTATATTTATTATCATTAATATGGCTCTCGTGTTGCCATTAATTATATAGATGACGTATTTTGTAATGTGCTTATATTTATCTATGCAGGCGGAATATTTGTATTCATAAAGATAGACAACTGGAATTTGTACAGGTTGGGTCACGTTTTGCCGAAGTTGTCCGTATAAAAATATTAAAAAAATGATTAAATTACGTGAGATTTTTTTTGTTTTTGCTGCTCTTCGGTGTAACTACTGTTTTCCAGTCTGCAGAGTCATCACCCTAATCAAAGCAGTCGTGTTAGGCACTAGTTTGAAAGACAGCACAAAATGCGCCCATTTTATGAGCAAAAGACAATTTTTAAGCAGGGAATGTTGCTGAATGAAGAGAATATCTTGTCTCATTACCAGAGGAAACCTAAGTGCACGGGGTGCACGTCGCCCCCGGTGCACCCATCGCAAAATAATTTTTCGCCTCCACTCGCCGCCCAATAGTGTTCATCCAAGTGCCTCATTCCCATTTGAGTAAGTGCCACGGCGGTCATGTTACGACATTGGCAACGAGTCACCAGGTCAAGCTTTTCTTTTTCATTGAGATATTTTTCGATGCCGTGAAAACGCCTTTTCGCACAGTAACTTTTCTTCAGCAAAGCCTAGCTTATTCCGTTTGCTGTAGCCACGCCAGTTGTCAACGGAAATCTAGAGCCACCACACACACACCTAACGCACAGTTGCGCCACAAATCCACCATGCCCAATGATGTGCAGTGCTGGTTTCGACCGTTTTCGCTGTCTGATTTCATGGCGATTGAAGATTTAGGGACATTGTTTTGATTATTTTTCAAGCACAATGTGATGTTAGCAATTTGTTTCAACAGATTTGTTTCATCAACTCACCTTGCGTTTGAGGGGATGTTAGCAATATTATGCTATTTACTTGATTCTGCATATCTCTCAGGATTATGCATATATATCCCATTCATATCTTTGATTGATTTATTTGGTATTATGTTTATCTTATTAAGTTATCTAACAAAGCTTATAAATAGACTCGTGTTCAATTTATCATATACATCCAAATTTACAGAAAATCCACAGTCTGTCTCTTCCGCATTTTATTATTATTATCAACTTGGAGTATCAGCAAGATGAATGAAATTAGATGATCTTATTACCAGGTTGCTAGAGTTGAAAATAAAAGCGGTAGTGTATCTGTTTGAGTGATCACAAGTGTGATTCATTTTCATATTTTCCACTTCTTGTGTATTACAGTATGTACAGTATTCTACAAGGACTCCATGCCTTAATTGCTTGTGTTTTCTTGGGCAAAAAGACTGCTCATTGGACCCAAAAAAGAAAAGAAAAAGGAAGGCATAGTCCGGTGGACTTGCCAGCCACTCTTGCTATGTCAAGATGATCACATCCTCCGATGCATTGATCCGTAAACGGCGACGAGAGCCACGACAAGGGAATGATCAACTTCAGGCTCCACAACCAAACTCAAAACATCATCTCCTAGGTATACTCCAGAAGATGATTGCTTCCTCTTTCCCTGGAAAATCATCCCAGAAAGGCACATTATTAGTTCAAGAAGTAGTCCGTATTAAGAGTGTTTGAAAGTCTAAAGAGGCTAACCTCTGCAATCAGACCTCCTGTTCTGTTGACTATTCTGAACTCTGATTTACCAGCCATACTCTCTATGTTAAAAATATTCCGACCGTCATCACAGTGCACAGAAACTTGGCAGGACAATCTCCTTTTAAAGATGGGACAACCTTTCTTTACGCGAAACCAAAGTTTTCCGTGGTTCACATCCTGTTCGTCGCATTTGTAGCCCTCCCAGCGCCCGAGAACTCGAAGTTTCTGCATTAACATTTGTCATTAGCCTCAGCTCTATAGTTCAAATAGTAATTGAAGTAATCTAGTTGACTACTATGTGAAAAGAAACATTGCCTATACCCTTTGAATTATAGTGAAGAGAACTTTTCCGCGTAAATCCATGAGAAAAACTTTTCTGCTACCCTTCTTTTCGTAGTTATCTATACGATAAACGATCTCGCCATTCTGATTGAAGACAGTGCACCCATTACTTTGCATGACGAGCGACTTCATCCACACCGTGAAAGCTTCTCTCTTTGGAGTCATACATGGAGAACACGAAGCGTCAGCTGTAGCAATTGGCACAAATGAATGAACCTTGGCCATCTGATCCACTAACTTTGTTGTTCTGAGAGAACTCTTACCAACCTTTTTTTGTGTGAGAACACCACCCTTTCAAGTGTTCCCTAAATGACAGGAGGAGGAGGCACTTTTTCGGGTTAAAATACTCTCGAGAAGACGGTGCTTAGGTAATAGACGTGCTTGAGGCTTCACGTTTATAATATGTGTGCATAAATTATGGAGATCAACGCTTTGTATATAGAATCATGAGAGTATTATAATGGTTACCCAATTGTTGACCTTCTGGATCTGGGGAGTCTAAAGTTCAGCGGAAAATGAAGTTGCAGAGGTTGTTGTCGATGACAATGGTGACAGAGAACAATATAACTAACATACAAAACATTACTTTCAACACTTTTGTGCTCTTTGCATTGAGTTTTATATGCATTGTCTGCTTTCAGATCTGAACTTTTTCCTGTTTTATTCGGAGGGGGCTTATCCAAATAGAGAATTCGACCACACTTATAAGTATGCGAGCATCGACTTACCGATAAGCATACTAAGTCCTAAGTAAGTGATTTTGTTTCCATCTGGGACTACCATGTGTTATCATCTCTTTAGCATCAAGAACATGACTGCTGGGATTATTTTAGAACCAGTGATTTGTTAAGCCACCGACAATGATGCAAGTAGTAAAATTCTTCTATCCTTTGGAAACCGATCCATTGTCAGTCTCATTTTAGTGATTTAGTTCAGCGGATTGAAACTGATTTTCAAGATACAAACTCATTAGATAGTCATTAGCACAGCACATAGTACACATAGAGGCTTTGTAAAGGTTTTTTTGAAAGGTGAAATATGACAACCTCACTTGGGCTATTATGTTGTGGCTTATTTGCGCAAACACAACTTTAATGCTTCATGCTAGTTTGACATCGCGGGAGACCACGGGAGACTTATCTATCAGTGCAATATACTAGGCATGAGCGATGTAGTTCAAACATCCGGTGCTTCGTGTACTCTGCTCGAAAGTCAAAATCATCCATGTGTTTATTATTTTCATTTTACATTCAAAACGATCTATCAACTTTTTAAAAAGGTTCACCTTTCATCTCTAAACCATGTTGGCTTGACACATGAAAAAGTAGTTGTTATCAATGGGGAAAATTACTAAAAAAACCCTAAACCTATTGCAATTGTATCAATTCAGTCCTAAACCTTTTTTTTGTTGGCCAATTGAATCTTAAACATTTTGCATTTGTGCCAATTCAATTCATCTGACCAATTTTGGCCGGAAATCGCTAACATGGATACTAGCCTTCTTACGTGGCTTTTTAAGTGGTGCTGTCGACGTTGACATAGACAATTTTTTATAATATTATAATATTTTTTTCAAATTTTTTATTTCTTTTTCCTTTTTTCTCTTTCTTTTTTTTTCTTCCCTTCTTCCTCGATCTCGCCGGCCACTAGCAAGGCTCAACCTCACCAAATCTAGCAAGGTCGAGCCTCGCCTAGCCATGGCAAGGCTCACCCTCGCAAGTGGTGGGCAACCGACTAGAGGAAGAAGGAAAGAAAAAATAAAAGAGAGAGAGAGAGAGAGAGAGAGAGAGAGAGAGAGAGAGAGGATAATAAAAAAGAATAAATAAAAAAAATTCGAAAAAAATTAAAAATTATTCACATCAACGCCGGCCGCGCCACGTAGGACTATTAGCATCTATGTTAACGATTTCCAGCCAAAATTAGTAGGATAAACTGAATTGGCACAAATGCAAAAGGTTTAAGGGTACGTTTGGTTCAGCATTCCCAAGGGATTTTGGGGAAATGCAAATACCTTTAACTTAAAGCCTTGGGGAAATGCAAATTGCATTCGGTAAAAAATCCTTTGTGAAGTTACTTTCGGCCAAGTAAAGTTTGGCAAATCTTATTTTGCAAAGGGTTTCGAAATTTTTTTTATCAAAAAAAAAAGAGCTTACCCTTTACCGGAGTCAGCGATGGGCTACGGCCGCCGGCCAGCCAGATTTGGCGCCGGCAGCCGTTGCCCAAGGCTGGGCGACCCTTGGTGAGGGTCGCATGACCCATGACCCAAAGGCCGTCACCTGGGGTCGCGCGACCCAAGGCAGCCGTCGCCGGGGACGGGCGACCTCACCAGCCCCTCGCTGGCATTTCGTCGTCTGATCTGGCCTCGAGCGGCTCTAATCGACCGCCCTCGTCAGCCGCCCTCAACCCAAAGGAAGATGAACAGTCATGAGGGGCAAAATTGGAATGTTGAGGAATTAGTGAGGGTAGTTTGTGAAGAAAAAAATTGATTTTAGTATTAGGCAAATGCTAAAAGCTCAAAGCTGGTCCGGACCAGCAGTGAGCTTTCAGCATTCCCAATGCTAGCTTTCGGCCGAAAGCTCATTGGAAATGCTCGTTAAATACCTCAGCAGTTCCCCAAGGGGTTTTCGAATGCTGACCCGAACGCACCCTAAGACTCAATTGACAAAAAAAGATTTAAAACTGAATTAGCATAATTGCAATAAGTTTATGACTTTTTTGGTAATTTTCCCATTATCATTGCTCGACTTGGTATTTCAATTAATTTATTTTCAAAACCTTTCCTTTGTTTTTTATATAATATAAGGATGTGCATTAAAAAAAATCGATAGAACAAATAGAATGCTTTACTCCAATTCAGTTAGAGAAAAGGAAGTAGCTCGACCTTAACCTACGTAAGAGGTACAAATTGTCTGGTCCGAGAGGTCCCAGGAAGGAAATGTGCAGGTAGGAGTCTCCTACTACATTCTTTATTGTGTGACATTAGGATATCCTAATTCAAAGCTCTCATGGTCCCCTACGTGCACATATTGGCAGGATATGGCAAGCAGAAAGAGAAGTAAATAGAGAAAGATGCTTTGAGCATGTATATAAATATGGACACAACCACTACGCACGAAAACTCATTCTCTGCTATTGTAGATTCAATTGATGTAAAAATTCAATCCCTTTTAAAAGTAATAGTTGTGACTAGAGTTGTGGAATTTAAACAATCGAAGAAAATACCGGAAATAAATAATACGTTATGTATTTTATTTGATGATCAAATGATGTAGGATTGTTGGTCTTAAATTTAAATTCACTTTTACTAAAACTAAATTTATCGCTGTTTGTTTTTCCTTTTAACCTGACAGGATGATTTTGCCTCTTCAAAACAATCATCATTCTTTAATTAAGTTAGATTAACTCTAATGTTGTACTTCAATGTATTTTTTGGTCGGAGCTCTCTATACTATTGTTTCAATATATTTGTACTTTTTCTGTCTAACACATATAATGTATCGATTTGACTTATATTTATAAGCATAAATATCTTCTCATTCTCAATTTTTACTACTTATTAGACAAGTACGACATTCATGACTATGTTAACATTTCAAAAATTCTTCTGTCGTAATTTTTTTGGAAAAATGCAAACATTTCTTTCTACCTTTATGGCCCAATTCCAAAAAAAACCCTCAACTTTACACTTTGTCCCAAATATACCCTGAACTTTTTTTTGTCTCAAGAAAAACCACAAACTTTTATCTAAGTCCCAAATCTGCCCTCCCGTTAAAAATCCGTCCAAATCCGTCAGAAAAAAAAAAATAGAAAACCGGCAGCTGCGGCGGTGCCCAAGCCTTCGCCGGTGGCCCCTGCCACAGCCGTCGGGAAGGAGCGGCGGGCCACGCCCGGGCCTTCCCGAAGGCCGGCGAGGGCCGCAACCGGCCCCCGGGCGAGCCCGGCGAGGGCGCGCAGCCCCGATCCGGGGCGAGGGTCGCCCTCGCCGGCGGCTCGCCCGGGGCCGGCGAGGGTCGCCGGCCTTCCAGAAGGCCTAGGCGAGGGCCAGCAACCCTCGCCGGCGACTCGCCCGGGGCCGGCGAGGGTCGCCGGCCTTTGGGAAGGCCCAGGCGTGGGCTACCGCTCCTTCCCGACGGCTGTTGCGGTGGCCACCGGCGAAGGCTTGGCCACCGCCGCAGCTGCCGGTTCTGTGTTTTTTTTTTTTTTTCCTGACGTCAATTGGACGGATTTTTAACGGGAGGGCAGATTTGGGACTTAGATAAAAGTTTGTGATTTTTCTTGAGACAAAAAAAAGTTTAGGGTATATTTAGGACAAAGTGTAAAATTGAGGGTTTTTTTTGGAATTGGGCCCTATCTTTATTGAATTGAATGCATTTAATGTCCAAAAGCCATTTTTACCATAATAAATTAGATATTCAATGATCCCTTTCACTTTTTGAAAAAGTTCAAAATAGTCCACGTATTTTCCACCGGTCCCGCCACCCTCCATAGCCAACTCTATTTCTCCTCTCCATCCAATCTGATACATAATTATTAACGAAGTACCGACCACGCTCACGTATATTCGAATATTTTTCCAAAAATCATCGCATGTATGCTCACAAAAATGAATAAACAAAAAAAAAATCATCATTCACGAAAATATTTAGACAGAAAATCCTTGTCAATAATAAAAACATATTTCATTAACTAATTATTTCAAGCGAGATAAAAGATCATTTTTAAAAAAATGTCTTTCAAATTATTCAATTTTCGCAAACTAAACTAAGCATTAAACAAATGGGAGGCTTGAGTTCGATCTCATCGCTATGGAATCAAAGCGCAAAGGCCAATAACGTTTGAACCTCGTAGTTCTCTGTCTATATTTGGTTCATTGTTCTGTACGTCAGCAATGTTTTTAGTATGTACGGTCGGATGACTGCTGCTAAAGTTCGTGACTCGACCAAACCTAAAATAACTCACCGGCCGTCGAGAAAAGAATCACGTTTCGCATCTTTTCATATTTAAGATGTTAAGACTGATCTATCCACCTAATTAAGAAACACCAGAAATTCAAGGTAGAAACCAAAACCATAGTCAATCCACAGTAATGTCACTTGCATGTTTACTGCAGATGATTCATGGACAAGCCTAATCCACATGATTATAAGAACAATTGTTAGAATGCGCAAGCGACTAGTGTGAGATGCGAAGTGTGACGATGTTTCGGATCTGATAATTAGAGCTTA